TAACGTTAACCCAAAATAAGGGAAAATGGATAAAATATTAATTACCGCCATCTGTCATCGCTTTTGCGAATTAACATAGACGATAGCAATATGATCAACGACCTTGGATCTTGCCTTTCATATCGACCAAGTGTTAGTAGTGCTATCTCTGTGACATAGATGGCACTAGTTCCACACTAATATTATTTTGTAATAACACTTTCTGACAGTAGGGGTCTCACAGATCGTAATCTGGAACAATCTAGAGATTTCTTCGGATCAGGAAGTGGATCGTGCAAAATATTACCAAATATGGTGATGTTTGGTGCTTCGATCAGTAGTGGAATCGAAAGATAGGGGGTATAAATGTAGGAGTTTTGTAGAAACCGTCCTTTTTCGAAATCGATTTCTACAACAAGGAAGATCAGACTGAAGAAGTGCTGTGTCTTATAATTTTATTAAAAAGTTGTCGTGCAGGTCCAGTGAAAGACCTGAATTAATTAATATTTGTGTGTATTTCGTCCCAGATTCTGGGTAAGTTTCTAAAACAAAATATTAAATAGATATTCGTTTCTTCGCGATGTGAATATAGGTTATATTGTGTTCTTACGATGTACCCATTGTTATAGGTTCTTTATATCTGGAGAAAATTCTTTATATCTGGAGAAAATTCTTTATATCAGGAGAAAATCCTTTATATCAGGAGAAAACTCCTTGTATCAGCGGAAAGTTTATCCATGTCTACCCCATTGTAGACAATCAATTGATTTGTCGTTTTGCCCGTGAAGTCGAGCTGGAGCATCGTGGTACGGCTTCAGATGCTCATGATTTATACGAGGTCACCGGATGAAGGCAGATCCTTACAGTCGTGCACCAGATCCTCTGTTGTAGTGCTGGCACGCCGGATATCTGTCTCAGAAGTTAAGTAACATAGTTTATTAACTGTATGTACTTATAAGGGTATTGACAATCACCCTGCGAAGGTGATATGTTTGTTACAGATTAGCTGTTTTTGCTGTATTTAATCCAAATATTTATAGTTAAATATTGCCATTCATGTATATTTGGAATTTTTGTTATATATGTGTAATTACCCACTTCCTTCCAGATAAAGTTGTATTAAAATTAACGAAAATAAGTGGGTAACTTGTAATAATTATATATTTAAAGGTGCATGATTTGATGATCAGCTGATCATCGTCTGTATGTATATTACTTGTGCCGTTCTTTGGATTAATTGGTAATTTGATTACATGGGTTAATTGTGTGTGTTAAATTAAATATATTTTGGTAAATTTATACTGTATAGCTTTGTGTTATTTGAATTTATTTATACCCCACGAAGAGAATCATGGCGCCCTGGGATTATCTAATATAAAGTTTATTTAAGAGTTTCTTGTCCTGCCCTGAGACTAGGTCCGGTGGTAGCCGAAATTAAAGGTTACAAATTGGCGACCAACGTCAAGGCCGACAGAAAAACTGATTCTCTGGGGTTTATCCAGGTGTGTTCTAATGATGAAGAATAGGTTGTAAGCCATAAAAAGTTTCAACCAATCTGAAGTCACACCTTAGCTTTTAATTATATAAGAATACCTTAATTTAACACACAACCCAACCATCTAGTTTGATTTTCTTTGATTTTTATTTTTTATTCACTACCTTCTTTTATTCTACTTGCAACAAAATGTCCTCAATACATAAATATATAAACTATTTAAGAAAGGATGAGATCATATCTGAACTAGATTTACTCGGCATTTCCACAGCTCCTGATTCAACCGTTGATTCGCTGAGAAGGCAGCTGAGACAGGTGCATAAGCTGTCCAGGCGTGGCAGCATTAAAACAGAACAAGTCACATCACCACTCCCAGCAGCTGAGGCAAAAGTCTGTAACCCGAAGGTTGGTGAGCTGGAGGATCTGCTTTCTTCAGGTGACTTAACGAAAGATAGGAGTTTACTCATACGCATTTCAGTCAGGGCTAATTATCTAATTGACCGTTTGGCTAGGTCTGGATCACTAAATACGTCAATAACAGAGCTTAGACACAGACTTATTAGAATTTTGGCTGAAGTAGAACCTGACGATGAAGATAGTTCGGAAGAATACGTAGATAGGGAGAATACCCCCAAATGTAAAAGCGCGAGTAGAGTAATTGAGGACATACCAGATAGTGAGGTAGGAGATCGTCTCGTAAAAGAGAACAGGATTGATATGCCTAAAGGTAGGGAAGAAATTTTATTGGTTAGGGATAAACCAATAAACCTAAACTCTTTAAACTTAAAATACAATGGATCAACATGTATTCGAATCTTTATAGAAAGATTAGAGGAACTCAGGCAGGCCCGTGAGATTCCGGAAGCACGTATGCTTACTGCTTTTTCTGACCTATTAGAAGGCCCACCATTATCATGGTTTAGGTGCAATAAACCAACTTTTAATTCTTATTCTGAATTGTTATCTCGTCTAAAAGAGGACTTTGACACTCCAGATTTTGATTATCAATATAAAAATGAAATTAGACAACGTACGCAGGCTAAGCATGAAACAATCTTAAACTATATTTCCACTATGCAAGGAATGTTTTCTCGTTTGTCCTACCCCGTATCCGAGGAGGAACAACTAGAAATACTAATGCACAATATTCGACCAGAGTATATGATGGCATTAGCCTTGCAAGAAGTAGATTCAATTAGCAAATTGAAACATTTAGGAAAGCGTTTAGAGCTAGCACAATCGCGTGCAAACAACTTTATAGAACCCAAATTTAATAAAACAGATAACTATTACAACCCTCCGTCGAGGAGTGGCAAGTTTCCAAGTAAGGATTATAAAATAGCAGCCGTAAATTCCAGTCCACGAGGTGAGGCGAACATTACGTGCTGGAGGTGTAAAACCAACGAACATGTCTCTAATGAATGTAGACAGGCTAAATCTAGGGAAATATTGTGTTATGGATGCGGACAGCCAGGCGTAACACGACCTGCATGTCCACACTGCAATTCAAGAGTAGAAATTGAGAATGTCAAAGAAAAAATAAAACTGAAATGTGAGAACGCTACCCGATACTCAACATTAAATAGGTCACCTAACAACTTAAATAAAGGTAAAGTTCTCTTTCCAAACAAAAAGCCTGATAACCGACCTCACCTTCAGGTAGATATCATCTCTGTAGATAGTCCAAAGGATGAATGGTATCAATATATGCTCACGTCCGTAAAAGAAAATCCGCGCAAATTCCCAAATTTTATGGAAAAAGATGGTAGTTTATTTAGATATTCAAAGAATAAATATAATTTGACAAACGAATGTAATTGGAAATTGGTAGTACCTGAGGATAATAGGTTAGAATTATTACAAAAGTATCATGACGATCCTACAAGTGCACACTTGGGCGTTATGAAAACTCATAAAAGAATAGCCTTACATTATTATTGGCCTCGCTTGTATGAAAACGTAAAAGATTACGTGAGTAAATGTGAAGTTTGTAAAACATCTAAACCTGTCAACACCGTTCGTCCTGGTCTGATGGGTAATCCCAAGTATTATAATCTAAGGAAAAGACAGGTGGAACTGAAGATAGGCCAATTCGTTTATAAACGTACATTTTATCTCTCTAACAAAGCCAAAAATTTTTCATCTAAGCTAGCTCCTAAATTCATAAAATGTGTGGTAACAGCCAAGCGTTCACCACTAGTATATACTTTATCAGACCTAGACGGAAAATGTTTGGGTAATTATCATATTAAAGATATCCTCAAATATGATTCTTAAGTAAAAATTAATTAACTTTTGTGTTTATGTCTGTTTGACTAGCGTCAATAGTACAAATTAAAACACAAATAGTGATTATTTTAATCTGTATTACCAGTAACGGAGGTTACACAATGGTAATTACAAGAAACAAGATAAGGTTAGGTAGTCGAATGAGTCCAGGTTCAAACCCGAGTTATGACCTACTCGCTATTATTCACTTTAGGTTGTTTGTCTATGTTTTTTTTTTTTTTTCAACGTGAAATTGCAGAAGATTAATTTTGTATGTTTTTTTTTTTTTTGTTTGTAACTTAACTTGTAATTTGTTATTTGTTTTTTTTTGTTGCTTTTGCCAGTCAGGTCTCTAGGAGCGATCCCTGGGAAAATTTTTAGTAACTAAAAATTTTTTCACAAGGGGGGGTGTATTGTAACATAAAAAAAATAACGTTAACCCAAAATAAGGGAAAATGGATAAAATATTAATTACCGCCATCTGTCATCGCTTTTGCGAATTAACATAGACGATAGCAATATAATCAACAACCTTGGATCTTGCCTTTCATATCGACCAAGTGTTAGTAGTACTATCTCTGTGACATAGATGGCACTAGTTCCACACTAATATTCTTTTGTAGTAACACTTTCTGACAGTAGGGGTCTCACAGATCGTAATCTGGAACAATCTAGAGATTTCTTCGGATCAGGAAGTGGATCGTGCAAAATATTACCAAATATGGTGATGTTTGGTGCTTCGATCAGTAGTGGAATCGAAAGATAGGGGGTATAAATGTAGGAGTTTTGTAGAAACCGTCCTTTTTCGAAATCGATTTCTACAACAAGGAAGATCAGACTGAAGAAGTGCTGTGTCTTATAATTTTATTAAAAAGTTGTCGTGCAGGTCCAGTGAAAGACCTGAATTAATTAATATTTGTGTGTATTTCGTCCCAGATTCTGGGTAAGTTTCTAAAACAAAATATTAAATAGATATTCGTTTCTTCGCGATGTGAATATAGGTTATATTGTGTTCTTACGATGTACCCATTGTTATAGGTTCTTTATATCTGGAGAAAATTCTTTATATCTGGAGAAAATTCTTTATATCAGGAGAAAATCCTTTATATCAGGAGAAAATTCTTTATATCAGGAGAAAACTCCTTGTATCAGCAGAAAGTTTATCCATGTCTACCCCATTGTAGACAATCAATTGATTTGTCGTTTTGCCCGTGAAGTCGAGCTGGAGCATCGTGGTACGGCTTCAGATGCTCATGATTTATACGAGGTCACCGGATGAAGGCAGATCCTTACAGTCGTGCACCAGATCCTCTGTTGTAGTGCTGGCACGCCGGATATCTGTCTCAGAAGTTAAGTAACATAGTTTATTAACTGTATGTACTTATAAGGGTATTGACAATCACCCTGCGAAGGTGATATGTTTGTTACAGATTAGCTGTTTTTGCTGTATTTAATCCAAATATTTATAGTTAAATATTGCCATTCATGTATATTTGGAATTTTTGTTATATATGTGTAATTACCCACTTCCTTCCAGATAAAGTTGTATTAAAATTAACGAAAATAAGTGGGTAACTTGTAATAATTATATATTTAAAGGTGCATGATTTGATGATCAGCTGATCATCGTCTGTATGTATATTACTTGTGCCGTTCTTTGGATTAATTGGTAATTTGATTACATGGGTTAATTGTGTGTGTTAAATTAAATATATTTTGGTAAATTTATACTGTATAGCTTTGTGTTATTTGAATTTATTTATACCCCACGAAGAGAATCATGGCGCCCTGGGATTATCTAATATAAAGTTTATTTAAGAGTTTCTTGTCCTGCCCTGAGACTAGGTCCGGTGGTAGCCGAAATTACAGGTTACACATATATGGCTGAATGTACTTATTTTTGTGACTTACCTTTCCTTGAGCAGCCAGCAGCTTCTTATTGACCTGTTCCAGTCTTGAAGTCAAGTAATAACTCATGCAGATGACAAACAAATCGGAAAAGTTCCAAATAAATGTTGATTGAAAATGGAGAAACTGAAACCAAAGTAAAATGCACTATCTCTTATTAAACACAAAGTTTGAATTGCTAAAGCATTTTTAATATCAAGGCCATAAATTATGAAAACTAATATTCAGTGTAGCATAGTGGTAAAGTTGATTTTACCTGCGTAATAACTCCTAAGACTGGGGAATAGGGTAGATAGCTGAACACCCAGGGATAGAAATGTGTGACGAATCCTTGGTAGGTGTCCATGCCGCCATAGCAGGAAGCGGCTCCAGCGAATGCTGATAGCAAAGATAAGATGTGTTCCACTGTAAGGAAGAACATTGTTATCAGTATAAGATAATCAAACCATTGCGGAATGAAAACCACCTTATTGACAAAGCAGGTTAAATTTAGAAGACAGTGCTGCTCATTTCTCGTTGGTTAAACGCAGTTTCAAAATATGCCCAAGTAAAAGGAACATTATCATCATCAACAGCCTATAAATGCCCACTGCTGAGCAAAGCCTCTTCTCACACGGAGAAGGTTAGAGCATTGATCACTACGCTTGCTGAATGCGGGTTGGCGATTACAAACTTATAATTAGAAATTATAAGCCCTGGTTTCCTCACGATGTTTTCCTTCACCGTTTGTCAGTGGTGTCTATATAATCTTAGAAAGTACATTTAACTCGGAAAAAGTCACATTGTACTTGCCGTTGGTAAGTTTCGAACTCGCCCCCACATGTATGAGAAGCGGGCGTCTTAAACCTCCGGGCCACCACGACATACGATACTATAATATTATTATTAAACGTCTTACAAGTTGACCTATTCTTTTTTAAGCTACTGCTGCAGAGACCTTTTGTTTAATACACACACTTCACGAGTTGTGCTTAGAATTCCACGAGAATTAAAAAATGCAGAAAATTCCAAAATTACTTAGGTAACTTGAGTATTGATTCCGACATCTCCTGTTTCGTACTTACAAGTCATACATATTCGATAATATTTATTTCTCGTTAAAGTTTTACTATGTACTTATACTAGCTAGCATCCGCTTACAAAATGATTCCTATTTTATCCAATGGGAGCATTTAATCGGGATTACAATCACTTAAGACAGCCCATACCCTGCCTCACTGCCTGTATACCAAATTTCATCAAAATCCGTTCAGTAGTATCATCGTGATTGACGAACAATACCCATACAAAAACAAAATAGTGCGATTATCGACCAAAAAGAGTGACTTATTACTTACACAAAGCCAATATAAGTACCACGGCGCAGGTAATATTGCACTTCCTTGCCAGGCTGCAGTCGAAATTGGGATCCATATCCTCAGCCTTGGCGATATGCTGCACCAGCTGTGGCCAGCGCCGAGCCACTTGGAAGAACATCATCATCGTCACGCAAGTCGTCACGTAGAATATTACAGGAGCTGTTAAACATTGGAAGGTTTACATATTGTTTAGTTAAGTTTCAAGGTCTTTTGAAGGTCAGACAAATAAGTATTAGTAGTAGTAGTCTGCCTCATTGGCCGAGTGGTCGCAGGGTCTCGGGTTCGATTCGCGGGTAGGGCAAAGTATATATGATTTAATTAGGAGAATGACCTTTTCCTCTCTTCTAATCTCATTTTCGGAAATTACACTTTCGAAACTGCCAGCGAAGATACGTATTTTTGCAAAAAAATGTAGTTTAAAATAATCCCACTTTCTATTATTATCGGCAGATAAACGGTATATGTATAATACGTAAAATGTAACTTACAAGTCCCATTCAATGTGACATTAGACCTCGCCAACTTATTGATACAGAGTACTGCCATGAATATCTGTCCGATAAGAGATAGTACGGAGTACACGCATTTCCACGATGTTTTGATAAACCTGGGAAGAAAAAGAAGATTAATCAACCCGAAAATTATGAAAGAAAATACTGGGTTACTTTTTAATCGTTTATGAAGAAGAAAGATTAATTAAAAAGAAAAATTACTACATAGTATAAAACAAAGTCGCTATCAGCCGTCTGTCTGTCCCTATCACAATCTTTAAAACTACGTAACGGGTTTTGATGCGGTTTTTTTAATAGATAGATTGATCCTTCAGGAAGGTTTATATGTATGTATATATATTGCATCCGTGTGAAGCTGGAGCGGGTCGCTAGTTATGATACAAAACACGGTTGGTGTTATTGTTAAATGGTCTATAAAAAGTTTTAAGTCAAGGAGTCACTAGGAGACAGATGTCCCCTTCAAGTGCGGATGGTGGCCACCGGGGAGGTTTTAGTGAGGTAAAAATCCCACACTCCCTAGTCTTTTTTCCCCAAAAAGCTAGGCGCCTTTGGAAGGTTTCCCCCCGTCAACAAAAAAAAAAAAAAAAAAAGGAGACAGATGTCGCACGATACATATCGGGGATATGTCGAGCGAAGCCGGCCGATTTCGCCCGACAAAATGGCGGAGTACTGCGCGAACAAATAATAATAATAATTAAAAAAAAAAATCAGCCGAACATAGTACCTCCTTCTTTTTTTGAAGTCGGTAAAAAGGCGACAACGCGCGCATTATGTCCACTGCGACTTTGATATTGTCTGGCATACATAACATCACGCCTTTTATCCCCGAAGGGGTAGGCAGAGGTGCACTTTATGCCACTGTACAATGTAACACCCACTTTTCACTATTTATGTTATGAGTCCCATTAATAGGGGGTGAGCCTATTGCCATATACCGGGCACAGTTCCAGACTCCGTGCTACTACTGAGATTTTTTTAAAACCCAGTAATACTTTGCCCGACCCGGGAATCGAACCCGAGACCTCTTGCTCTTATCTTTTGTCTGGCATTTCAACCAAAGTCCTGCAACGTCGCACTACTTCACCCAACGACGCTGGCGACACGTGGCGCTGGACATTTGTCTCCTAGTAGCTTTATAATAGTATAGTGCAGCTCGTCTTGTATGACGAGCTGCACTATACTTTTCTAGAGAAAAGTAAAACTATTTTCAACAAAAATAGACAATTTAGTATCCAGTCCTCTGTTGTTAAGTAAAAGTTATTAAGTACCTATTCTTATCGATGGGGGAAGATGGTAGCACAGTGGTCACGTGCTATCGTCTGGGGACTGGGATGCCGTCTCCTCCTTTTGCGAAGCAGTCATGCTAGCTAAGGAGGAGGCGGGACGCGTGAGGCAGCGAAGCGCTGCCTCCTCGCAACCCAGCCATCGCGAAGGACACACCGGGCGTCGGGGATCGCGGGACGATCTCCGGCCACCGTAAGCGCGGGTCTGCGGACGGCGAGCATGGGTGGCTCCCCGTCCGACCAGAAACAGACCCGAGCGTACGGCGCGTCGCGTTCCGCAAGCGCCTCAAAGAGCCATCAGACCACCACAGATAGGGCCCAATACGGCCGATGCCGATTCGGGGTCGCGGAGAACCTAACGGGTAACCGGGGCTCCGGCTCGACGTGCAGGAGAAGGAACGGGGTGGTTTTTAGTCAGTAAGAGTCTGACACTCCCTCCCGCCTCACCCAGGCGGGAGCAGTCATTCGATGATTTTCCCCCCTTAAAAAAAAAAATCGTGCAAAGTGATGATCAAGGGACACGCACGTCTATCTAGGGATGTACCGTAACTAGCATTGCCCCGTGGAGGATCGAAAACAGGGAGAAAATCTTTCAGAGAACTTGGTACCCCTTACAGGTGTTGAGGGTTGCCACCGGAGTGGTTTTAGTGACGTACAAATCCCACTCTCCCTAGTCTTTCATCCTAAAATTTTCGATCAGTTTGACTAGATTTTAGTGTTACATTGTTCTCGCACAATACAAACAGCAAATTATGTAACTTGAGAATTGTATTGTGAACCTGATTGAAAAAGAGTAGCCTGTGGAGTTTCTTGCTCGTTCTTCTCCATGGGAATCTACACCTTGGAATGAGCAAATAGCTTCACTTTTAATTTTATTGTTGACGTTCAAAAGTGTCTTTCTGGTCTAATTGAAATAAATGATTTTGACTTTGACTTTGAAAAAACAAGGCGGCTTTTGAAGGTACACCACCGTCATGAAAAAGGCTTATGAATGGAGTTTAATCACCTGTCTAGTATGGAATATGTAGAACTTACTTGACATTATTAGCAATATTAGTGAATACTCCAACAAATGGAAGCAAGGAGAACACTTGACCTACAATAAGCGTACACCTCAGAGCGTCAAAGAACGGCGTAATGCTCCTTGGAGACTTGTGCTTCGCAATATCAACCTTATTTTCTGAAAAGATAAAGGTTATTGTAGATTGAACAGGAACTGTTCACTTGATTTTCGATAATACAAAGGCATGCAAAGGAAAGATCGATAGATACATACGGCTTACGAAAAATACACGTGACATAGTTTCAATAGTAAATTAATTAACTGTATTGGCTAAAAAATACACACAGTAAATGCTTTAGTGGCCGTTTTTACTAAACACCCTCTAACCATCGCCTAAATAAAAGATACTAAGCGTGACTTAGCATCTATACTAAAACCTTTGGTTCGTTAAGTGTCACTTATAAATTGGTAAATGTACTTAAATGTCACCTATCCAAGCTAAGTGGTTCCTTACAATTTAGGGGATGTTGGCGAAAAGGGTTGTACGTGAATTCCCTACACAAGTGCTATACCGACTATTTGGAACAACTACATAATGTATTTACAGATTCTCTATACTTTAAACAGCTATTGTGTTATCATCGTTCACGAGGTGAAAGGTCAAAGTGACGTATATGGAGTTGAAATAATCGTAAAGTAAGCATACAGTATTTGTCCCTGGGACATGTTGTTGCAAGAGAGAGCATGCTGTTTGTTTAGGAGTCGGCTTTGGCTACACGACATAGTGTAGGTAAGTGTGAAGTAGGCCAACAAAATTTATTTCTAAATTTCTCTCCCCGAGTAATAAATTCATCATCATCATCATCAACAGCCTATAAATGTCCACTGCTGAGCAAAGCCTCTTCTCACACGGAGAACGTTTGAGCATTCATTAATACGCTTGCTCAATGCGGGTTGGCGATTACAGACTTATAATTAGAAATTGTAAGTCCAAGTTTCCTCACGATGTTTTTCTTCACCGTTTGTCAGTGGTGTCTAGATAATCTTAGAAGGTACATATTACTCAGAAAACGTCACATTAGTACTTGCCGTTGGTAGGTTTCGAACCCACACCCTCGTGCATGAGAAGGTACGGCGACATGTAATAAATTGTTTAGCTATAATTCTTTTTTTCGTCATCATGAGGAGAGGGTTGTAATGAAAGTAAATTTTGGAAAATTCGCAGGGAAAATTGAGAAATAACAACCCTTAGTCAGAATAAATCTTTTTATTTTTAAACAAATTAACGATTTCTGGAAAGTTTGGAACTCAACACTTGTGTGAAGCAGGGTTGTGTGACTAGTATTTATATAACAATTAATAAACAGTTACTACTTATAACAACAAATCTATATTAATATTATAAAGCTGAAAGTTTGTTTTTTTGTTTGTTTGAATGCGCTAATCTCCGAAACTACTGGTCCGATTTAAATAAATATTTCTGTGTTGGATAGCCCATTTATCGAGGAAGGCTATAGGCTATAAAATATCAGAGCGAGTGAAACCGTGCGGAAGTAGCTAGTAATATTATAAAGGTTATTGAATTTATTTACAATGATACTCAATACTTTGTTTGAGTTTCAAAGTCAACATCAATGGTAGTAGTAATTTAATTTACTGAGTCTAAAACAAACATCAAAGTGTTACAATTTGTAACAATATCATTAAAATACAATCACTAGAAGTTTGTACAGACAAACTCTAAGTTTTACAATAAGTCAACGACACCACGACTTTTTAGAAATATATCAAACTACGTTCTGCCCGCGATTTCGTACATGTAATCCCGTTTTCTCCCGTTCCCTTAGGATTTTCACGATATTTTCTGTCGTAAGAACCTTCTCCTCATAATATCAAATAAAACAAAGTAATAATTAGTGAAATTGGTCCAGCCATTCACGCGTGATGCCGTGACCAAGGTAAAAAGTGATTCATTTTTTTATACACCTATATAGATATTTGGTAAAAAAATGAGTTCTATGCACTAGAGCTCAAGTTCATTATCGAGCTTCATTTATTCTTTAATCAATCAGGTACTGCAAATATTGAAATTGAAAAGCCCGATAAATGTTGTGTGTGTAATAACACAATACTTAATAACACATTAATTATGTTATTTGTACAAAATGTATTTGAATCGGGACATGAAGTGACGACACTTCCAATTCTAAATATTGGCTTCTTAAATATTTAATAAAACAAAACATGTACATGTTTTGTTTATATATATATAATTTACTTTATTTTAGAAAAAGAGAACCTTTTTCTAAAATAAAGTAAATTATATAAAAATAAATACTATACGTTGCCTTTCACTAGTATTTTTGCTTCAGTCGTGAGTGGGTTTACAAACATACAAGTTCACATGCACATGACACCCAGACCGGAAACAATAATTTGTGGATCACACAAAGAGTTGGCTCTGTGCGGGAATCGAACCTCTACACGTAACCTAATCTATAGCCACCGTTCCAACTGTGCTAAAAGTGCCAGATATTTTTCATTATCTAACTGACAGATTTAGGGCTTGTTTCCACAATATCTGGATAACCGCTATCTACCAGATAAATTTGAATTAAGAACGTTTTTCAGGTATTTATATAGAGGTGGTGAAACCGGCGCTAAATCTTCTAGAATTTTATGATCTATGTTTCATCATTTCTACGGTACTTCTGCAAATTCTTTAAACTGTGGCCCGAGCGTGGTGCACGAAAACATCAGTAGTTTAGTACTTATCGGTAACATTCAGTTATTGTTTATTAACCCGTGGTTTTAACCCGACCGTTTTGTTGATACAAAGATGTCGTGTCTCGATACATTATTTGTTTATTTATTTATTCATCAATTTCGTAGTAGACGTTTAACAAATGACTTTTTAATATCTCTATTTTGTATTTGATGATTTTATTTCTGATAGCCCGAGGTTTGATTACCTGGTAACGGGAAGTGACTATTATTGGTATTTGAAGTTTGATTTATATCAGCCAGCTTTTTAAAAAAGTTAACATCACGTCGATGAATGAATATGAACCTAAGGAAGATTAGACTAAAGGTCATAATTAGAATTTGCAAATAACTATTTTGCATCATGACTACAAAATTTAGAAACCACTAAGTACTATTGTATGAAATTGAGCAAAAATGTAGGTCAGGTTATGATAAAATTTGCGAATATTGTAGCTATACGTATCAGATGAAACTAATACAAAAAACAATGTTAACTACCATAACTGAGAAAACATTCTCAGTAAGCAATGTTAACTTTTAAGTGTGGGAGAGCCATGTTTCGGCACGAATGGGCCGGCTCGACCGGCGTGATACCACGGCCACACAGAAAACCGACGTGAAACAACGCTTGCGTTGTGTTTCGTCGTGTGAGTGAGGTTACCGGAGGCCCAATTACCCCCCTCCCTAGTCCCCGTCTCCCGAATCCCCGAATCCTCCACAAACCTCAAATTCCCAATTCCCAAAAGGCCGGTAACGCACTTGTAACGCCTTGGTGTTTCGAGTGTCCATAGGCGGCGCCGATTGCTTACCATCAGGCGATCCGTCTGCTCTTTTACCGGCTTATGTTATAAAAAAAAACTGAGAATGTGTTCCCAGTTAACATTGCTTTTTGGGTAAGTAAGAGACCTGTGCGCCTTTCCAATAACTAATCACTGAACTTTAGGTACATTACTACATGTTTTAATAAAATTAATTTATTAAATAATTTAATAAAATTTGTACACTGTAAAACTTCTAATTGTTTCGACAAATACCCATAAGTTTGTCGGCCATAATTAATGTAATGGGAAAAATATTCCTATATATATCTTTAAAAACAATGGGGTAGACGACTAATTTTTATTTTAATGTCCGTCTGGTAGATTATTTAAAAACATTAGACACGTATTTTTTATTTTCTTACGGAAACGAATAGTTTCGAAGATATATTGATTTGAAATGTCGCGTGACGTCACTTCTCAGTACATTTTATACTAAGAAATGACGTTTTAGCCCCCACTCCTAAACTTTGATTCGTTTTATCTAAGTATTGTTTTATTATACAACAAAATAAAAAAATACGTGTCTAATATTTTTTTATTACCTAAGTTACGGACTAATTATATTTTTAATTTTCATACCCTGTCATCATCCCCATTGTTGCCTTGGTTTAAGTTGTAAACCGGGTTCGAAACCTACCAACGGCTAGTACCAATGTGACTTTTTCCGAGTTATATGTACTTTCTAAGATTATTTAGACACCACTTACAAACGGTGAAGAAAAAACGTGAAGAAACTTAGGCTTATGATTTCTAATTATAAGTTCGAAATTGCCAACCCGCATTAAGCCAGCGTGGTGATTAATGCTCAAACCATCTCTTTGTGAGAAGAGACTTTGTTCACCAGTGGGCAATTATAGGCTGTTGGTGTATGTATAGGAAAACGTTTCTTTATATTTGTTTATTGAAATCGAAGGACTATAAACAAACGCTATTATGTACACTGTACAGGAGTCGGTGCGTCATACGTTTCCAGTTGTAGAAGATGAAATTTACAATATAACCTAAATAACAAAAACAAACAATAACACTACTAAATGGCTACTTACTTTTAACAGGAATCCAAAATGACATATTCCGCCTAAAGCTCGTTTGCCCCATTTTAGGTTTAGTGTTGGGACTGGTCCCGTGTTTCTGAATACCCCTGTTTACTGCTATCATAGTACTGGTCACTAATGGACTGGCTTGTTTACGAACCTCGCGACAACGTGTTGGAGATCCGTGGTCGGAATTTGGTAGCGTTGTTCTATGTTTATTTTTCATCGAAACTTTTTGTGAGTTAGTGTGGATTTATTGTTAACTAATATACATAATCATGATTAGAATATCTATAATATTTACAAATTCGTTGACTAGACTTGACTTGCAGGTCTATTCTATGTCATGTAGCTTTTTATGTCCTTTTCTGTACTTCCAACTATATGTAATGGAAAATTTTAAGAAGATCGGTTACGTAAGTAAATTCTTTTTTTTAGAGGGGAAAATCATCGAATTACTGCTCCCGCCTGGGTGACGCTTCGAGGTTCTCCGCGGCAATTCAATACGTATAACATTATCAATATGTACATCACTAATACCAAGTCAAGAAAAAAGCAAAAGTAACTAATATCGTATCTATTATAATAACTATCGTGAGACATGCTAAATTAATTAAAAATACAAGTTGCTTAAGTAAATATACTGCGGAAAACTCTACCAGTTTCGAGTCACAAAGGGACTCTTACAGCATGCGCGGTCTCACGTCGACGTCGCGCAGTCTACTAACTTCGCCGCTTTTCGCTTTTTTTTACATGAATAACTCTTAATTTTTTTTATTGGCTTATTACTCATTCTATATTTTGTGATATATACTTAGTATGTTAACATCAATTCATTAGAAATATTGTATTTTCGTTTGGTCTATTCCAGACGTAAAGTTGTTATTGAAAATACGTATATAAAATATTACGAACGTTTGTTTCATTTGGTTGTTGAATTTGCAACCTAAAAGCTTAGTAATAAAAGTAGAATATTAGTTAAATTCTCAATACGGAACCATCACCAATAAATAATTCAGTTTCTCTATAAAAAAACTGTATTAATCAGATTGCGTATTATATTCGTTATTTAAGTTAACTATACATTATTATAACGACAACGAATAGTTATTTTATTAACAAATACCAGTATTGTTTAACATTGCTGTAATGAAAGTATGTACCATAGAATTTAAATTTCAAATAGTAATAATGTGTATTTGTATACCTACTACATAATATAACATAACATCACGCCTTTTATCCCCGAAGGGGTAGGCAGAGGTGTAAATTATGCCACTGTACAATGTAACACCCACTTTTCACTATTTATGTTATGAGTCCCATGTAATAGGGGGTGAGCCTATTGCCATATATACCGGGCACAATTCCAGACGACGTGCAACTACTGAGAATTTAAAAAAAAATACCCAGTCCTACTTTGCCCGACCCGGGAATCGAAACCGAGACTCGAGAGATTTTTTAGTAAACGAGATTTTCTAGATGTGAATCGTAGCTAGATCAATTTCTCGTTCCCGACACCGCTTTCTGAGATTATTGATAGATATACACCGAGAAATATATTTCGTCACGCGGAAAAACAACTTATTACTTAAGGAATACTTTCGATGTATAAAGTAAGGAGTAAAAACAATAAAGACGTACTTTTAAGTTTAAAAGAAAAGATTATGAAAATACGCACATGAAACACTAGACATTTTGTAGGCAGTAGTCGCATCGCATGGGACACCCGACGAGAAATACCTCTTCGAGAATTATGTGGCGTGATGTTTTGATACTGTAGTTTGAGTTCGTATACGATTTCGAAGTTTGATTTTCGCAATGGCCCTCCAGTTATTTTTTGTTTTAAGAATTTTATTTCTTTATAAACCTATTGTATTACTAAGACAGAACAATTTTACGTTAGGACGAAAACGAAATACATTTCAGTGTGTGTATACAAGAATTGCTTGTTTAAAGGAATTCGATTTTCTTAACATTAATGGGTTGATTAGGAAGCCGACAAAACGATCGGAAGATACAAAGTTCCCGTTGATTTGTGACTTTCAAATTCCGTATATTGATTAGATTTTCAATTCCAAGATGGACGATAGATTCAAAGATAAGAACTTTTGCCCAAGGAATTAATTATCGGGTTTTGCAGTGAGAAGGTGCTGCTTACGAATGTTGAAAGTTAATTTTAATTTAGATACTTTACAGATTTCACATTTAGATAATTGTTATCGTAACTTTACGAGGTTACTAAGATGATGTATGGTTAATTATTTATTAAAGAAATATTTTTTTAAGAGGTCTAAAACTAATAATCTTTATTATTTATTTTTTTTATATTAGATGGGACTGACGTTTGACCACTATCTCGCCTGGTGGTAAGCGATGATGTGGCCTACGGTGGAGCACGTCGACCCATAAGCAACCTATTCACTCGGGCCTTGAATACATCCAGGTTATAGAGGTATATACCCTTCAGGAAATATAGACTATAGCAAAGAATTCCACTCCTTAGCAATATGCACATGGAAGCTTAATGCGAAGCGCTTTGTGCGTATGTGTGTGTGTGTGTCTATACATATATACCTACTTAAGTAATATTAACATTATAAATACAAATAAATTAAAACTAAAATATTTAAAGAGGTATGTAGGAATCGTAGTAATTGGCCCTAGTCTCTGCCTACCCCCATGGGGACAGGCGTGAACTTATGTATGTATGTAAAATATTTACAACTTAAAAAAATAATAGTAATGTTACCTTAAGGCATCTAAAAATTTTTTCCTCATCGCTATAGTGAGGTAGGGGCCCCAAAAGACTGGCAGCATTGCCACGTTGAATGGCAAGATAATATCTTTATAGATATCTTTCTAAATAAAAATACTCCTTTCTACTGCACCTCGCAAAACTAATGTGAAAAACATTACACTAATATTGTAAATGTGATAGTTTGTTTATTTGGATGTTTATCCGTCAATCACGTTAAAACTGCTGAACGGAATTTGATGAAATTTGGCAGGGTATGGGCTGACTTAGGTGAAAGCACTTTTTAAATCGATTAAATGAATCAATGGTATAAAACAGGAACCATATTTTACTCGGACGACGTTGCAGGCAACAGCTAGTATAGGATAATTTTAACAAAAATAAATGCATTCATAGGTATTCTTATAAGTACATATAAAAAGTACCTTTCAAATCAAAGTAATACTTACATGTTCGTGTGGGTTTCCTACAAATGGCATGTAGACAGCCAATGATTATCGGGTCAATTCGAGTCGAGTGTCTATTTAATTTTATATTGAATACAAAGTAAATCATAGTACTAAATAAGTTCAGGAAACTAGTCAACAATTTAGTAAATTAGTATGTTTTAGAAAATAGATGGGGTATTGCTTTGAAAGCTTTTATTGGTTGAAGGTGTGGTTAGGTCAATAAAACAAAGCGACTAATTTTCTTTACTTAGAGCATATTATGAAGGCTTTTATCCCTGAAGGGGTAGGCAGATGTGGACGTTACAGCACCAAATGCCACTGTACCATGTAACACCCACTTTTCACTATTTATGTTATGAGTCCCTTGTAATAGGGGGTGAGCTTATTGCCGACTTACAGTTGTTTATGTAAATACTAACTTAGTAAACTTTAAGGCTGTTAGTTCAATGATGGACACGGTAAATATTATGTAGGTATTATTAGTTTTTGATTTAGATATTGTCAGTAGCCGGATCACCATCGGTCCTCACCTTATCTTACTTTTGAGACAAAACAATAGGCATTTTATAAGGTTGAAGTTGTTACAATTTGAACATTTTGTCAGTTTTTTTATGGGTAAGCCGGGAAACGAGCACACGGATCACCTGGTGTTAAGCAATTGCCTTCGCCCATGCACACCTGTAATACAAGAGGCGTTACAAATGCGTTACCGGCTTTTTGAGGATTAGGAATTTGAGGATTGTATGGGATTTGGGGATTGGGGAGTTTTGGGTAATTGGGCCACCGGTAACCTCAATTACACGACGAAACACAGCGCAAGCATGGCTCTCTCTCCCCACTTAGTTGATTAAAGAATTTAGAATTAAGAAGATCTCTTGTGTGCGTATAATTGGTGTCTACTCATTTGAATTACACTCTTCGATTTCAATTATTTTATTCACAATTAACATTGCAGTCCCGCCAAACTTCCTCAAACTCCCTTATTCAGAACATAATTATGCTTGTATACTTGTAAAGGTATGTCCACACTATCCCCATTATACTTATTTCTTCAATCGAGAAAATCAAATAAATTCTGCGACTTCTTAAGTTTCCATTGCCACGAGCGCATAACTTTTTGATTTTTGTTCAATATGTTTTCATAGCGACCTGCGTACACAGAACTTTATCATTTTTACACAAAGAAACTAAATTATTTGATAGTGCCATCTCATGGTATGTATCAGTAAGACAGTTTGAGCTGTACAATAAGAGATGGCGCTCTTAAACTGTTACGTTATAATATTGATATGGTTCGTTATAATCTGTAATATATATTGTTACGCTATCGTATTGTTAAACTAATCTGAAACCTAAACAGAGAGTAAATTGTGAAATAAAAGTCACTGATAAATATTTATGTACATTTAGTTTTTATGAGACCAATATTCATAAAATTCAGAGTTTCACTTATCATGACTGATAATCACCATGTTTGGGTGTTGATCTGTGAAAAATACAAAAAAAAAACTTTACAAAAGATGGTACTTTACAAAATATGGAAACATCAAAAATCTTCGAGAGACCTAATACCTACTAAAAGTATTTTGGACAATTCAATCATTGCGGTGCCTAGAGATATTACGAACATTGTTGGTGCTTAGTAATTAGCCATGATTTCGGGTAAAACTATCAAACTATAAAAAGTATTTTCATTTTAAACTACTGTTCGCCGAAAACCACCAAGTCTGTTGGTTGATCTGTAAACGAAAGAAGTTACGTTTCTACTCTTATCTAATGGACTGAGTATAAAAACAATAATTTTACAACAGAATACCATTCATAGTTGAGAAGATAACAGATGTTCTAAAAAAACTAACACAGATACCTTTTGATCCTGTTATTCAGCTGATAGTATAAAATGTCACAATAATTTGGTTGCAGTATATGATGACGTGTAAAAAAGATTGTTAATTTTAGGAGCAAACAATATTTTAGATGTCAAGAGTGACAGTGCTGATTAGGTTAACGCATATGTCAAAACTGTGCGAGAAGAGGTACGGAAGACCAAAGATAGAAAACGTATGTGAGGAGAAGAAATTAAAAAGGGATCAAGTGGATTGTGATAAAAAAGTAAAGAGAAAAAGATAAAGAATTTTAACCAATTTACAGCAATTTAAGTCTGCTGATGCTAGCTCAGCTATGAAGGTAGTCTATTGTGTTTACAATACAGTGACTGTACCTATGCCTTCAACAGTGTCAAGGGAGAGCCAGCTCAATTCGTCGTGCAGTTTGTTCAAATTATTCTCTTTATTGTCAAGTTGTACTTCTCTTAGCTGGGATTCAGACAGCTGGAACGAAGACGTGGTCTTATTAATAAAAGAATTATGAGATGGAGTCTTATAATTACACCCTGAAAAAGTAAATTCTTCCACTGTATCGATAGTTGTGCCGTTTCCGAATTAGTTATGGAGTCAGTATTGATTGATTGACTAATTTTATTAGAGGCAGCTGAATGTCCGTTTTCTACATAGAGCAACTGCATTTCATAATATAGAATGTAACCTATCATAGGTACTCGTCTAAACAAAGATTTTCTTTTAGTGCGGAAAATCATCGAATGACTTCTCTCGCCCGGGTGAGGCGAGAAGGAGTGTCAGACTCTTATTGACTAAAAACCACCACCAGCCTCGGCAAACTTTTATATTCTCCGCGGCTCTAATCAAAGGGTAACATATATAGTTTAAAATTATTTGTTTAATTCTTCTAGTTCAGTGGTTATACAACAAGTGAATAAAAGACCAATACTAGGTCTCTAGGCGTGAAAAGGTTTTTTATTCTTTTCGATTCAATTCATGTTTGGGCTATGTGTTTAGGGTGATGATCTGGGTTCGTTGATTAAAAAAACTTGGCTCATATGTTCATGTTTATTAGATTCTTTAAGAAATGCATGCATGCATGTAAGTTACAATTCGTTGCCTAAACTTTGAATATGGTGGTCAACTAGGTCTTTTCTAGACAGTGAGTTTTGTTTTTCACTTTCCTCTGCTTGTTTCATTTCGTATAATATTTTGTTCATCGTGATATCTTTCTTATTTCTAGTATTTCTTATTTCTTTTACGTTAGTTTTGGAATACGAAACGAAAAGCCATTCGGAACGTCTATCCAATCCAATACATATTCGTCACCACGTGCTTAGGCATCTAATAATAAAATTCATATTATTAGCTTCATTTGTTCACTTGATTAAGATATTTCTGTACTCTATTAACTCGTCGAGTACCGGTTTTGTAGACACAATTATAGAACACCTTGCGGTCACCGGTGACCGCTTGGTTTTGACAGTTTAATTTGTATTGACAAATATATTATAGGTCATATCATTATTTACCTCAAACCTTCGATCAATGAAATCTTCACGAATATCTTTGGTCCTTCTATAATTTAGGCTTCCTTGTCCATCGTTCCCAAATCTTCTTCTACTATTAATCTTTGAGTATGGATTCAGTGGTACAACTTCCCTTCGTTTTAAATTACCGATTACCATTTTATTTTCAGGATAGTATAAATCATCAGATTGCATATAAGCTACTACTAATTGCACGGTTGCATAGACACACAATAACAATTTGTGAACCATAGTGTCACGTGACTGTTTGAAAATGGAACTGATTTGGTCAGATGTAAATTGACAATGGTGCTAGACGGATGTGTATATTTTCTTAGTGGTGTAATCTCGTGTTGAGTTGTAATATCGATGTTATTTTTTATTACCTGACTTTCGTAATATTTGATTTGTTTTATTGAAGTGCGTATTTTTATAGTGTAACGATTTTATGTGGTTATAAAATATTATTGACGAAAATAAATCCTTTTCATCATCGTACAACAAGACAATCGGCGAAGCGTCACCGATTCATGGTAGATGTTCCGCCAACACTTACAAAGCGCGTCAAACCTCCTTGCGCGTACTACTAAGGAGTGGAATTCTTTGCCAGAGTCTGTACTTCCTGAAGGGTATAAACTGGGTGTCTTCAAGGCCCGAGTGAATAGGTTGCTTATGGGTCGACGTGCTCTATGGTAGGCCACATCATCACTTACCGCCAGGCGAGATAGTTGTCAAACGTCAGTCCCATCTAATATAAAAAAAATAAAATCTAATATAAAAATAAAGTAGTCTGTACCTAGAGGTTTTGTTAATCTAAACAATTTAACTCGTCGAGTACCGGTTTTGTAGACACAATTATAGAACAATAGGTTGCGGTCACCGGTGACCGCTTGGTGTTTGACAGTTTAAATTCTGTAGTGTTTGTAGATTGAATAAACAAGCGTACGTCTAAACATACGTATTTATAATATTACGTAGCAGGTACATGTACACTATAGTCTTCAGACTTTCACAAACCAAAAATATGTAGTTAAAGTTTAGCTCAAGTTACTCAAAGACGTGTACACTGTACATAGTGCAACCAAATGCCTGTCATATATTGACGTCAACTAAAAGGAGTTTATACGAAGTCAATAATTATCACAAACTTGTGTGAGTCGCTTAACGGCACACAAATATTGACTCGAGAATCTTATTGGGATGTGAACTAATGAAGCTTGTAATTACCGAGGCACAGGGCTGGATTAGGTAGTGCTGAAATAGAGTGAAAACTGTTTTTTTTATGGATGATGAATGTTACGTTGATTATTTATTTGTTAAGGTGTGATCAAAAGTATACGAACAGTTCGTCGAACATTTACCCGTTACATTTATCAATCATATTGCAATAAAGCATTTATTTATCTATCTATATATCAATCAATGAAGGGATCTTATTATTGGCTGTTTTCTGTGGTAATAAATGATGAATCCATCTCAGTTTTAAACTCCCAATAATACATAACATAATATCATCACGTCTTTTATCCCCGAAGGGATAAGGCAGAGATACACATTACGACATTTGATACCACTGTACCTCTACAATCATGTAACCACACTTTTCACTATATGTGTTATGAGTTCCATGTAATAGGGGTCGAGCTTATTGCCATATACCGGGCACATTTTCAGGCTTCGTGTTACCACTGACATTTTTTTTTAAAGCACAGTAACACTTTGCTCGACCTAGACCCCTAGCCAGCAGTCGCACTTGCGTCCACTTGGCCAACGAGGCAGTCGAAATTCCCCATAACATAATAAAAAAGTGGGGGCTTTTACTTGACTGTTGAGATTGTTTTCTCGTTACGTATAAAGCAATTATGTACTACAATTTCTTATCATTGAATTTTCTATCATACTTTATTCTTAATACGACCCTGTCCTAAAGAATGTTTATTAATATTTGAGCGCTAATAAGCCTCCTGTCTCGTACCGTACAGTGTTTATTAACCCCTAGGGTAACTGTTAGACTACAATATAGTCTAGACTTAGGTACACACTAAGTACTAAGTTACTGACAACCTAACAGTCTGCATGTTTTGCTGACTTTAGAGTTTAGTTGTTTGGAACTTCTGTTTGGGATGCTTTGTTAGGTTAGATCAATATAATTATAATATATGTTTGTGTATGTATATTATTTGTTTGCACATTAGGACAGAGGCCGGGCAGCACTCTCTGGTATTAGCGATCTACAAGCCTAGCGTGGAGATAAAACCGAAATGTCTTACATAGAGGAGGCATTTTTTTGAGGGGTGAAATCATCCAATGACTTCTCTCGCCCGGGTGAGGCGAGACGGAGTGTCATACTGACTGACTAAAAAACACCCTGTTCCTACTCCTGCACTTCGAGCCGGAGCCGCGGCAACCCGTTAATTCGGGCAGTATCGGCATCAGCCCTATTGGGCTTCATCTGTGGTGGTCTGATATATGTGACGGTGGTTCCATGCTTACGGTGCATGGAGGAGACTGAGAGTCATAGGATATTAACCTCTTTCTGTCGGTATGTGAGACAGACATCGCGTATATGTACGTTCCGGCATACCAGGGGTTACAGAACACTTTTATCTATGTTTATCCTGGTGCAGTAATTCATAACTTATTTACAAATTACACTATCATTTTAATAAGTTCACAACTAAAAACTATGTGTTTATAATTCATAGAAACATTGAAATTCCTCAAAACAATTCAGTTACGTATACATACATATTCAAAACATGCAATTTACTCAACACATACTTGTATTTTTTTTTAAACATAACAACAGTTTGTAGCTACTTTAATACAACACCGAACGCACGCGATCCAAATGTCATTACGATAGTAATCTGTTTTCAGTGCTTTCAGGATTTCAGTTAAGTGGGGGAAATGAAAACAATTGATATTATTAAATGAGTAGTAACTTCTGTATGTTTTTTGTTTGGCTGTTTTTTCAGAGACTCCTCTTGTGACCACTCGGTCACAAGCGATTGCCGAGCGAAAATCCTTGGACTTGGACTCCGGAGTCGATTAAAATTTGAGATTGTTGGAATTTTCCCAGCATGGGCTGTGGATTGAGCCTCGTCTAATGTAATATATTCCGTATATTAGGTACTATGGTATTACGTACGACTGCTTCTTATATTAATTAGCATTTATCACTAATTAGCATGTGTGTTGGAATGTAGCTTAAAATTAGAATTATCATTTCGGGCTTGCTTGCGAATCGACAGGCGTTCGATTGTTGAACATTTTTGAGGACGTGCTCAACGCAAATGTTGCATTTAAAATAATTATTTTTAACACGCAATAGGGTAGATGCCTAATTTTTATTTTAATGTCCGTCTGGTAGATTATTTTAAATCATTAGGCACGTATTTTTTATTTTCTTACAGAAACAAATACATTCGACGATACATATATTGATTTGAAATGTCGCGTGACGTCACTTCTATGAAGATTTTATACGTAGAAATAACGTTTTAGCCCCCACTCCTAAACTTTGATTCGTTTTACCTAAGTATTGTTTTATTATGCGACAAAATAATCTCTCTAATAATTTTTCATTATTTAACTTACGGACTAATTATATTTTTAATTTTCATACCGTGTCATCATCCCAATTGTGTAACAGTACCAATCTAGGTTAGTCTTTTAGCCCTTTTGTATAATACTTTGTTACTTTACTTACAAATCTTGAAAATTAAGAATTCTACAAGCATATTCTTTCCAGTTTCGCCATATTAATGTGCAACACATTATTTACTAACAAATAGAGGAGTGTTGCATGCACTCAGCTCTGCTCGTGAGGCGAATAAATTATTCTTTAAATTGAGCTCAAAGTTGGACTAAAAGAATGTAGATTTTCTAGGGATTTCAGTTCCAAGCTGGTGTGTGAAGTTGATTTATATTTTACTTTGTGCTTGGAGGAGATAAACTGAATATTTAAAGGGGTAAAGATATTGTTGTAAAGGTAATAAAGATATTGTATTATTGAATTACCTTATTTATTTGGTAGGATATTGTATATTTCGGTAGACATGGAAAGGCAAATAAAAAAACCAGTAACCAAAATTTTGGGCTATGCACCGATAACATTGTAATAATTGTTAAAAGAAGAAAAAAATGTCTGTCAAAATAGTACGATTATTATCGTAATTAACTCAAAAAAAATTCCAATAGTGAATAATTTCATGGAAATATTTTATCAATCATTATGAATACCATGAAAAGTGAATCTCACCTCACCTCACCTCGCTTTCGCTTATGTCATCGAAAAATAATACATTATCTACATTTTCGAATTATGCTGCCATAAAAGTAACCTCTGTATTCGAACGTATTAGCTTATCGCGGTCATTGACCGCTAGATACTTAAAGTTGTCATAAACAAAATTTTCTTTAAATCAAAAATAGATTTTCATAACGACATCGCATGTTGAGACAGTTAACGATTAATATTATTTCAGACTAATTTTTGTTTGCGACTTCCCTCGCTTACATACAGACTTAAGCGATATTGCGACAACTGTTGATAAGTACTTCTTTTTCAAGTTCAAAATGGTCATAGTGGCTTGTCTCTCTGTCTGAATCAGCTTTGACGTGGTTTATACAGTTTGTCACAAATATAACCAAGATATTCTTTTCATTTCTTCTTCTTTCTTGTGCCACACCTCATTCAAATCGGTTGAGGAGTTTGGTGAAAGTAAGTACCTGGTAAATTATCAACTAATTGTAATAAGTAACATCAATTTGTAACAATAATGTTCTTCGAGTTGATTACTTTCATGTTAAACTTATCAAAATTTATAGTTTATTGTAACATAACATAACATCACGCCTTTTATCCCCGAAGGGGTAGGCAGAGGTGCACATTATGCCACTGTACAATGTAACATCCACTTGTCACTATTTATGTTATGAGTGCCATGTAATAGGGGGTGAGCCTATTGCCATATACCGAGCACATTTCCAGACTCCGTGCTACTACTGAGATTTTTTAAAAACCCAGTAATACTTTGCCCGACCCGGGAATCGAACCCGAGACCCCTTGCCCGATAGTCGCACTTGCGACCACTCGGCCAACGAGGCAGTCAGGTAGTTTATTGTATTAATAGTTTTAACCAAACATGGTCCACAAACAAATAAACATTCAAGTTTTATATTACTAACGATTCTATGCTTTCGTGTCTAAAACTAGTATTTTTCGTAGATAAGTAATAAATCTTGAAGAATTATGTTGTTTATAAAATACTTTGAATTCAATGAGACGTGAAGGTTGTCTGCTGCAATTATGGAAACATATTTATCGATACTACTAGTTGAAATTAA